GGACCACGTGACCCAAAACGCATTAGCCGCGCGGAATGATGAGGCCTATGGACAAGCCAACGGCAGACAGTCGTTCTGTACAGTCCTTCGCTATCATTTAAAACACTGGACACGGGAATTTTTTCATTGGCCGTTTTCAAACTAGAGCTAGAAATGGATTATCCGTCTGAGACTAACCTGTGTACAGTCGCCCCCTCCCCCACAGACACCCGTTCTTCGATTTTTGCTGAGGGAAGGGGGCGGCTGTACACAGGCTATCTGAAACGGGTAATCTGAACGGATAAACTGTCCGTCAAAATTGACGGTGATAAAGTCAGGCGGATTGTTCATTCAAAATTAAAATCATTCCATTTTCAAATTAAGACGTATTACCTATCTGATGCGAATTATCAAACGTATAACCCATCTCACACGAATAATCCGTCTCTAGTATGAAAACGGCCATTTCTGTTATAAATGAATGTCGAGCCCCGGCCTTGAGTTGGGCGTTCGCGCGTCTGCTTTTGCTTTTTCCCAAAGATTATTTTGAAATTGACTATTGACATTTCTATGCGTAAAATAACATTAGAAATGGATTACTTTATAAAAATTATGATCTATCAAATGTTAAAATTTTTCAAAAAGAATAACTTCAGTTTATCCCGAGATGATCCTAAGACCTTTATTTTGCTTTGAAGATACAAAAAATACAGGTTTATTAATATTTAACTCTTTGAAACAAAAGAAATTAATTTTTAACTTTTTTGTTAACCGTAACTGAAAAAAATTAACCGATAGCCGTAAAAGAGCCAAAATTTTAGCCGATAACCGTAAAAGCCACCACCCCATTGAGACCCTCTTGAACTTCGTGCTGTTTTTCAGCCCAGAGACCCCCTCTCCACTAAGCCCCCACCCCCTTGGAAAATGTAAGCAACCTGGAGGCTTTTAACAGCGTCTTCAGTACTTTTTCTTTCCTTTTCTCATTTGAAACAACTTTTGTGTGAGTAATCTTGTCTACAACAGACCGGCAAAAAAGTACTGATTTTTTCCATCGATTATCCGTTAATTCCTGTCCACTTTAAAAAATCCTGTATCCCGATAATCGTCCCATCAAGCACACTTCTTCTTTCTTCAAAAGAGAGCAAAATATAGCCCGTTTTTTATTTTTTCTTCCAGAATTAAGAGGCGTCCCGTTTCTCAATGTCCTGTGTATTCGCCGTTTGCACATCTCCCATAATACACCTTGTTTGCCCCCCAAATTTTGCCTTACCTTTGTTTTTTATTTCTCCTGGGTATTTGCACGTGACGTTACTGCAGCCATGTTGGTGGTCAAGAAGTAAAGCATTTCTCTCCTCCGGGAACTAAACTCTCAGCCTCGTTCCCAGTCGTCCTCGGTGATTTCGGATGTGACGTCACCTGTCAAGCTTGTCGGGAAAATTAACCTAGGACACTCGGTTCCAAGCCTCCTCTAGTAACTCGGATAGCGCGAACTGGCCTGGGTACGAGGCTGCTAAACTCTGTTTTCATGTAAAATCTTTGAGAAAAATTTTTATTGTCTTGACCCCGCTACATGGCTTCCTTGTCACGTGGTTGCAAACTAAGAATTACAGTCGTCCCAACGGCAGTTGAAGACGATTGTTATGCAAATATTTTTGTTAGGGGGGAGGGAGGGGTAAGGGGGCGATGGAGGGGGTAGACAAGTTGCATTATGGGAGATGTGGTAGTGGCGAATGCAAAGAAGTTTTCCGGCTCCAAGACCGTGACAGAGAACACGATTTCAAGGCTCAAATGTAACTCATATAACTGGTATCTTAGCAACGAAGTCTGGTTTGAAAGAATTTTGTCCTTGAATTCTCCGTAAGTTGTGCATGAATCGAAGCTGCTATTTTGAGCAGTCTGACCTCCCCACGGAAATTCAGCTTTTTGAAAATCAAACTTACCGCTATTTTTTTCTGAACTTTGCACTGGGTACGGCAAGTTCAGTGCTGAGTGCAGCATTCATTCTCCAATCACATCATCTGGTGCTCGGCTATTAATGGCTGAGTAGTAGGTTCAATGGTTTCAAGAAATTTATTGAGCAGGTTGTCCAAAATTTTTTGCGCGGAAATACCCTTACGCGTTTTGTCCGTTTTTTAAAAAGCCGCAAAATGAAAGCTATCACATGCCGAATGATAAAAAATATTATTGATCCCTCGCAAAGCCTATATAGGGGCGCATTTTTAAATAAAAAGTTTGCAGTTATATTTGCATTTTTCAATCTGGTTTGGATGGTTTAGTCAGTAGTATGTACGTATACAAGCGTAACACGCTGGAAGTTTCTTGGCTTTCGAAATTTGAGGGCTAAATATACATGGCTGGTCGACTGAGCAACAAGGTTCGTATGGATTACAAAAGATTAATAAATTAATCCAATGATGTTTTTGAAAGAAAGAAATAGAAACTTGTCAGATAATAATTAGGACATAATATAAACAAAAATAGAATTGAAAAGCTGTCAGTAAAATTTTTATTGGAGCGACAAAACGCTGCCAACCTCGACTATCTGTCTAAAACTTTTAAGTCCCATAAATGTTTTTTTCAATTGAATTGACTCGCATAGCCGTGAGTCGTGAACAAGCTGGCTGGATAGAAGACTCCGCTGTAATAAGTATTTTTTCACACATTCATTAAAATGAGTTTCTCGGTAATGAAATATTCGTCACGTGAGAGTATATAACAAGGAATTTCTAACAGAATCATTATCTAATTTTTTGTTGAAGCTTATGTATCCACGTTTTATATAATTTAGTTAAACGTCTCAACGATGCTCAAATAGCTAGAATAAGAAACTTTTTATTGCTTTAAAAAGAGCAAGCGCTCCTGTTAAAGCTATTGTCATTTCATGGCATCTTTTGTTTTTTTTCTTTTGAAACTGAATTTAAAAATCGAATGCTTTACAGAAAAAATTAAAACAAAAGGAGTCAAAAAGACATATTTCTGTTCTGTTAAGGTTGGCTCATTCTCTCAAACGTTTGTTGCCTTGTAGGTGGCCGATTGCATTAGGTTTTTTTCTTGATTGCGGTTACAATAATGCCATGAAATAATAGCTCAGTGAGTTTCAAATGAGTTGCAGTTTATTCACTCTAATTGAAAATGCATCGACAAGGATAGCTTTAATAGCAGAACTTTCTCATCGCGTGAATGTCATTTCTGGACGTGAGCCATTGATAGAAGCAATTTTATCCACGTCTCGAGTTCAATGGAAAACCTTTAGGCATATCTTTCATGTAAGCTCTTCATCACTTGACAAAAAGCCATTAAAACCATCGAAAATGTCAATTATTCTTGGTTCGCGTGTGCAAGTGTGCCTTGAGAAGAATATCGGATATTTCATTGTTTACCAGCACTTTGAAGCCCAATATATGCAGCTGGACAAGGCTCCATCACATGTTCCAATTTCAGCTCACGGCTCTCGGAAATATCGGGCATTTTTAACACTATTAAAGCAGTGTTTTCAGGGTTTGGAATGTGTTTTCGCGTAAATGGTTGAATTTCGTGCGTGACTACCTTTGGTTTTCAAGATTTTAAGTAGGTTTAACGATTTTCCTGTGATGAAAATAAACATTTCAAACCTAAATGTTGAGCGGAAGGAGTTAGGCTAACCACTTAAATACCAGTTCACGACATCGCGCAAAGTGCCATCTTAAATTATTCACGCATATCATTCATTGTATGAAAAGTGAGCCAATAAGTCCTGCATTTGAAAAACACTGTTTCCCTTTTTGGGTCAAAACAGGTGTCTAACATGATAAAAATGTTATTTTTACTCCTTAACGTGAGTTTTTTTGAAGATCACTTTTATTTATCGTATTTTAATACCAGGATATGGCTCCTTTGACGCTAAACTACCGTCAGAATCCACCAATAA